ATCTCGGCTCACCGCAACCTCCGCCTCCTGGGTTCAGGCAATTCTCCTGCCTCAGCCTCCTGAGTAGCTGGGACTACAGACACGCCCCACCATGCCCAGCTAATTTTTTGTATTTTTAGTAGAGATGGGGTTTCACCATGTTGACCAAGATGGTCTCCATCTCTTGACCTTGTGATCCACCCGCCTCGGCCTCCCAAAGTGCTGGGATTACAGTCTTGAGCCACCGTGCGCGGCCCCTCAGTCCCCTTTTTAAACAGACGAATGGGTGACTTCCCGTGGCTCCAATCGCCAGCCAAAAGGGCACCCAGACTGGTGTATTTTGTACGGAGAACTGCTGCTTCGGGGCGCCGACAAAGCCGCGTGGGGCAAAGCGGCGGCGCTGGCCGGCACAGCCGCGCTGGCCGAAACAGCCGCGCTGGTGACCTGTGGAGCTCCTCCGCCTGGGGATTTCCTAGTCTGTGGGCAATAAAAATGCGGCGTCCACTCACCCTCTGCGCTTTCACTGGGAGCTGCAATCCTGAGTTGTTCCTAAATAGCCATCTTGGATCCTCCTTTTCTTTATCCTCGATGGGCATTTGGGGTGGTTCCAAATCTTTGTTATTGTAAACAGTGCCACAATGAACATACATGTGCATGTGTCTTTATAATAGTATGATTTATAATCCTTTGGGTATATACCCAGTAATGGGATTGCTGGATCAAATGGTATTTCTATTTCTAGATCCTTGAAGAATCACTACACTGTCTTCCACAGTGGCTGAACTAATTTACACTCCCACCAAGAGTGTAAAAACATTCCTATTTCTTCATATCCTCTCCAGCATCTGTTGTCTCCAGATTTTTTAATGATCACCATTCCAACTGGTGTGAGATGGTATTTCAACACCATAAAAACCCTAGAAGAAAACAGGCAATACCATTCAGGACATAGGCATAGGCAAGGACTTCATGACTAAAACACCAAAAGCAGTGGTAACAGAAGCCAAAATAGACAAATGGAATCTAATTAAACTTAAGAGCTTCTGCACAGCAAAAGAAACAATCATTAGAGTGAACTGACAACCAACAGAATGGGCAAAAAGTTTTGCAAGCTACCCACCTGACAAAGGGCTAATACCCAGAATCTACAAAGAACTAAAACAAATTTACCAGAAAAAAACAAAGAATCCCATCAAAAGGTGGGCAAAGGATATGAACAGGTATTTTTCAAAATATTTATGTGGCCAAGAAACATATGAAAAAGTGCTCATCATCATTGGTCATTAGAGGAGAAATACAAATGAAAACCACATTGTGCATTTTTTTTTCAGGGACAGTGAGTCTAAGGCCAAAGAAATTTTTTTTATATTTAATGTTTTTTCTTTTTAAATTATCAGTAGTGTCTTTTGAATGTGATGCCTCTTGAATTTGTCTTGTGAAATTTCTCCTATAAGGCTACAAACATTGCCAGAGTTTTAGAATGAGCTTAAAACAATTTTGTTCTTGGGAAGTAGAGACAGGGTAAATTAACCTTGAAATCATTCCTAGTAAAGGTTTCTATGCCCCTAAAACAATACAAATAATTTTTATTTTTTTGATGTCTAAAACACCCATTAAACTTATTTTTTTAAGTAAATAAAACCAATGAATCTGGGAGAAAACCACCTATCTTCCCCTAATTGAATTCCAAGAATATTGCCACATGTTGAGAAATTGATTAATCTTTCTATTTGGTCATAAAATTGTTAAAGAGAAAATACGTATGGCTGATCATCAGGGAAGAACCAGAGAAAGAGTTATTTGGATATAATGATGATACATTTAGATTCTTTATAGAGCCAGATTTTTGGGAGAAAACATAAGCACTGTAAGGAACACAGTCCTTTTGATGTTTCATCCACCACTGGGATAGCTCCTGGCACAATTCTTGCCCCTGGAAGTTCTAATACAAATGAGTGTATAGATTGTCAGGGAACTCTTCAGGGATCTTTACGTAATTAGACATCTCATTTGGTACAATTCACTCCATGAGTAATATCATATCTGTTTCATGGTCCTTCAATATTTTCCAAATGTGTCCTTTCTGTTTTTCTTTCTTTCAGATACCACAGCATACCTTGGAGGAAGTGGGACCACAAGAGGTGAATTAGCCACAGGTGAGCATTGCATTCACCTGCCAATAATATCCCCAAAGGATTATAGACTGAAATATATCCATAAATATAATCATTTATCCAATACTGAGGATTATTAGCTATAATCTTACCATTATTCATTGACTAAGCTTTCAGATTCTCAAAGTTTTTTCTTATTTCAAACCATGGAAATAAAAACAAAACTTGGAGCTTTGAGCTTGGAACAGACTGTCTTCATAACCCCCAAGGCAATCTTGCAGCTGTTCCACTGACACTAATTTAGATGGTCTAGAGAGTAGCTTCTATCTCCCTAGTCCTGAACTCTAGAAGAAAGAAAGCCTAATAAGTAAAAAAATTACTTGGTAAATATACTGTCACATGTGTATTGTATGAAGAATATGCAGATCACTATTAGGCATAAAAAGCTCAGTTTATGGCTGGTCATGGTGGCTCATGCCTGTAATAGCAGAACTTTGGGAGGCTGAGACGGGAGGACCACTTAAGTCAAGATTGAGACCAGCCTGGGCAATATGGCAAAACACTGTCTCTGCAAAAATAATAATAATAATAATACCTAAAATGCAATAAAATAAATAAATGGAAAAAAAATAGCTGGGTGTGGTGGCATGTGCTTGTAGTCCCAGCTACTCAGGAGGCTGAGGCTGGAGGATGGCTTGAGCCCAGGAGGTAGAGGTTGCAGTGAGCTAAGACTGCACCACTATGCTCCAGCTAGGGTAAGAGTGAGACTCTGTCAAAAAAAAAAAAAAATCCCAGTTTACTGGAATAATAAATAAGCATACAGACTGTGTCTACGTAATTACTTGATACTGTTTGCTCACTTTATGGTAATAAGGTACTGACCTATGACTACTCATCTCTTTCTTAATAGTTACCATTGGGGCATTCTCCGGAAAGACTCTGGAACCTGGCAGTGACAACACAGGCAAGTCCAAAAGCACACAGGGAATGCTACACCTTGGCTGCTCAGGTGACAGGCTCCTAGGGTTACATAACCCTGTACTTCCCAAACTGCAGACTTCATCCTTGCTTTTTTTTCTCTCAGAGGCCACAATTTCCACAGGAGGGGTCAGCAACACCAGGTCAGAAGCTCCAAGAGGTAAGTTTCACCACTCACAGGCTTTTGGGTTCTTCTGATTGCCCTGTTGTGCTGAGGTGAACACATTAATGAGAAAGGGGACCAAGGAAAGGAGTTACTTCTTGTCTGGAAGCACAACATGTATTCTGACCATCCTGATTAGTTATGCAAAGGAATTTCAGAAACTGGGTCGTCTAAGTCAGGCATTGCTCCATGGCCTGTTTGACAGTGTTACTTCTTTGGATACCTGGCTAAGGTCCACTGACCTGCAGCAGCCTTCCTGGAAAGCTTCTCCCCACTCAGCTCTTTATGATTCTGCAAAGTACTATCACCTGCTGCCATCTTTCAAACATATTTATTACACTTATTTATTTCCTGTGTTCCCTCTCCCACAAATGTAAATCACACAAGGCAGAGACCTTGTCTCTTCTGACTGACAGAAGACTCAGGCTTAGTGGAAATGCTTCCAGAATATGAGATGAGTGTCAGGCATATTCTTATGTAGAATGTCACTCTGGTTACTTCAATGGCTACCTACATAGTTTCCCTTGGAGTCAGCAGCAGTTCATAGGATCCCATGCCAGTTGGCATAGGCTACATAAAAAAGCAAAAGGGAGCTATAAACATCTCCTATGCGTTTATTCTTAAAAACATGATAATCACAATATTACCTGTTTCACAAAAGTGAACACTTAGAATGTTCAAGACTTTTTCTTACTCAAGTCATTAGACATAAAATCTGTAAAGTGAGATTAAACTTCCTTCTTTTTAAGTAGGCTGTGATGGAAGAAATAGTAGCAAAACAATAGTCTATACATTGCAAGGAAAAGCCTTAGTGGTTCATTTCCTTCAGAAACACAGATTCTGAGGGAAGGTCTTTCAATGGTTGAAGACAGCTTTGCTGTTTCCAGTGTTGTTTGTGCTATTAGCTCCTTTACCTTCTCATTGTAGGTACTTCTGGTGAATTCCCAGGGACAACACTTACATCTGGAGGTTCCCATACAGGTAGTTGAATGGGAAGGAAATCCTCATCTTGAAAGCATGATGACTTTGTAGAGCTGCAGTCATGAATTAGCAACACAGTGCTTTTTACCAATGTCTCCCAGAAGTCTTGATTCTATTCTTTACTTTGACAGAGGCCACAACTCTCACAGGAGGTGGGGCCAGTACTGGAACTGAATCCAGAGCAGATGAAGGTGAGAAGTCCATAATTACCATGTTACCACAAATCTTGACTCTCATTAGGATGTCCTGTTTGGGAGTGGACTTTTCTGCAGAATATTATGCACATGTTTAGGGATAAGGAGTCTTAGGACCCATAGAATTTTCTTTAGATTTTACATTTATAAACCTTTACCAATAGCCTCTTTTAAAATGGGATTTCCATTGCATTTGTTCTGAGAAGTTTCTCCTGTGAGGTTACATGGAAATGTTGCCGGGGTATTACTAGGAACTATAAACAGTTTTGATCTGGAGAAGAAGAATTAACTGAAATGAGCCTCAGAAACATACCGAAATCATGGTTTTCATTGCCTCAGAAATAACAGAAACGTTTAGTATATTCTTGATGCATAAGAGTCCAGGAAGATTGTTTTGTCTTCCACATTTTGGAAGTAAAATGGTAAACATGGGGAACACCACCTGTCTCCTGATGGAAGACCAGAAATATTGCCTCAGGTTGAGGAATAGTACCTTCTGATTGTTTTGCTAGGAAAATGCATATTGAGAAACTATACATGGCATGACCCCAGGAAGAATCATGGAAAGCACCATTTATAAATCATTAAGATAGGTCTAAATAGTTTTTAGAGGCAGGCCTATAGGAAAGGAAAACGTTGGTCACCATGATGATCCCACTCTTCATTGTGTTTCAGCCACCACGAGGGCAGCTCCTGGCACAACTCTTGCCCCTGGCAGTTCCAACACAGGTGAGTCTGCAGGTTGCTAGAACTTCAGAGCTCCTCCCATAATCGATGTTCAATGTTTCCTCTGGTGCTGTCCTTTCAAGAAATTGTATCATGTTCTTTCATGGTCCTTGAATATTTCCTAATCTGCCTTTTCTTTTTTTCTGTCCCTCAGGGGCCACAGCTTCTCTAGGTGAAAGTGTAACGACAAGAGGTGGAATAACCAGCGGTGAGCATTTCTGGGTCATTGGACTCACTTTTTAATAACATCCAGTAGACGTCATTGCTTGAAATGTATCCATGACACACATTTCTGCAACACTGAACATTGTTAGGTAAATCTTACCTTCATTCATTAATTATATCAAATGTGTGCAAAACTAATTGTGATTTTGCTATTGAAAATAGTAACAAATCAGAAATTCAAAAGCAGCAAATCAGTAATAGCAAATCAGAAACTCACAATTAATTTCTTTATACACTTTATGCAGACCCTCCTGCTAGTCCCCAAGGTAATCATGTAGCCATTGGACAGTTACACAGAGAATCAAGAGTGATAGCTGCTGGGACCCAGTTCATGAACCCTAGAGAAATGGAGACCCAATAAGTTACATTCCTTTGATAATATACCATGAGAAGGATATTATATGAGGAGCATATAGTTGACCTCTTGGGATTTAAAGCCCAGTTCCCTGTAGTATTGAATAAGTATACAGATTTAGCCATTTATTATCTTGTTATTCTCTGCCCACTTGATGACGACAAGGTACTAACCCATGACTACCCAACTCTTTCTTAATAGCTACCACTGGAGAATTCTCTGGAAAGACTCTTGAACCTGGGAATGAAAACACAGGCAAGTCCAAAAGCATACAGGGAATGCTACACCTTGGCTGCTCAGGTGACAGGTTCCTAGGGTTATAAAACCCTGTACTTCCCATACTGCAGACTTCATCTTTGCTTTCTTTTCTCTCAGAGGCCACAAGTTCCACAAGAGGAATCAGCATCACCAGGTCAGAAGCTCCAGCAGGTAAGCTTCATCAGTCCCAGGCTTCAGAGTTCTCATCATTGCTATATTGTGCTCAGGATAACACATACATGAGAAACAGGGTCAACATAAGGGGGTTACTTCTTATTGAGAAGGACAACATGTATTCTGACCATCCTGAGTGTTTCTGCTAAGGAATTTCACACACTGGGCTACCTAAGTCAGGCATTGCTCCATGTCCTGTGTGAAAGTGTTAGTTCTCTGAACCCGGCTGAGGCCCACTGACCTGCAGCAGCCTCCACAGGACCCTGATTCTCCTCACTCTGCTCATAATGATTCTGCAAAGCACTATCACCTGCTGCCACCTCTCGAACATACTTCTTACATATCTTGTTTATTTCCTGTGTTCTCTCTTTCACAAATGTAAATCACATGAGGCAGAGACCTTTATCTGTTCTTTTCCTCTATGTCAAGCACAAAGGAAATGCTTCCATAATATGAGATGGGTGACAGGCATATCATTATGCAGAGTGTCACTATGTTTACTTTAACAGCTACCACTATGGTTTAATTTGGTGTCAGCAGCAGTTCACAGGTACCCAGGCAAGAACTATTTAAAATCAGCAGGGGAAGATATAAATATCTTATAGAAGGGCATTGCTCAGCATCTGATAAGCACAATATCTGCAGTTACTGATATGAGAACATTTAGAATGTTCAAGTCTTTTTATCCTTCCTGATAACACAAGGAAAGCACAACATTTGAAGTAAAATCAGAAAGTGGAGTTAAGCTTCCTTTTTCAGTAGAGTACAGGGGAAGGAATAGGCAGTATAAAACATTAGTTAATAAGTTGGCAAAAATTTATTCATGGTTTATATTTTCTGAAATAAGTTTTTAAGAAAGGTTTTCCAGTGGTTGAGGACCACGTTGCTGATTCCAGTCCTGCTTGCTCTGTTAGATCGTATACTCTCATTTTAGGGACTGCTGGTAAATTCTCTGGGATAACCATTTCAATGGGAGGTTCCAACACAGGTAGTTCAATCAGATGGACATCCTCATCTTGCATCCATGATAACTTTATAGAAATTCAGTGATAAAACAGCAACTCAGCATTTTTTACCAATATCTCAAATTTCCTAGACCTCTCGATTCTTCTGTTTCTTTCCTCAGAGGCCACAACTCTCACAGGAGACAGGAGTACTGGAAGTGAATCCAGAACAGGTGAGGAGGGCAGCTGATGGTTTGGGAGGTACCATGAATCATGACTTTTGGGATGACTTGTGAGGAAGTAGGCTTTCCTACAGAATATTAAGTAATTTATCTAGGGACAATCTATCTGAGGCCAAATATATTTTTAAATTTAATATTTTCCTTAACCTTTTAATATACACTTTTCAAATGGGTTGACTCTTCTAGTTGGGATGTAAATGAAATGTAATTGTTTTGAGAAATTCCCTATAACATTAGATAGAAACATTTTCCGCATGGTAGTAAGAACTAAAAACAGTTTTAATCCTGGGAAGTAGAGATATATGACTCTTGGAATCATGCCTACGTAAGTATTTTCTTGACCCTAAGTGGTAGAAATAATCAGTAGTAAGTCAATGGGTACAAAATCACAATTAGGTAGTGAGCATTAACAGTGGAGTGCCTATAGTAAGCAATATTATAGTGTATATTTGAAAATACTTTGAAGAGAGGCGTGTTAGTTCATTTTCATGCTGCTGATAAAGACATACCCAAGACTACATAGTTCGTTAAGAAAAAGAGGTTTAATGGACTCAGAGTTCCACGTGGCTATGAGGGCCTAACAATCATGGCGGAAGGAGAAAGGCATGTCTTACATGGCAACAGGCAGGAGATAACTTGTGCAGGGAAACTCCCCTTTATAAAACCATCCAATCTTGTGAGACTTATTCGCTATCAGAAAAACAGCAGGGGAAAGATCCAGCCCCATTATTCAACTATCTTCCACCAGGTCCCTTCCATGACACATGTGAATTGTGGGAGCTATATTTCAAGATGAGATTTGGATGGGGACACAGCCAAACCATACCAAGAGGATTGTAATTTTCCTACTGAAAAGCTATAATAAATGTCAGAGATTATGGTTATACCAAACACCATGACTTGACTATTACACTGTGTGCATGTGTGTGTGTATGTATGTGTATATATATATATATATATATACACACACACACATTTATATATACATATATGTGTGTGTATAATCAAAACCTCACACTGTAAATATGTAAAATTTGTGTCAACTAAAAATATAATTAAAAATAGATACAATTATCATAAAACAAATTTTTTTTTCTTCTCCTGGCAGTGAAATAGGTAAGCATGGGAGAAAACCATCTGTCTTGCTGTCCTGGGATACCAGATGTAGTGCCCTAAGTTTGGCCCCTTTGATTGCTTTGATAGTTTATTAATTAATGGGAAAACACATCAGAGTGGCAGCCAGAGAAAGTGGCCTTTGACATCTGTAAGATATAAACAGATTCCTTCTAGTGCCAGGCCTTCAGTAGACAAACGAGAATCACTGCGGTGATGCCAGTTCCCCTGTGTTTCAGCCACCACTGGGGTAGCTCCTGGCACAACCGTTGCCCCTGGCAGTTCCAAGACAGGTAAGTCAACAGGTTGACATGAAATCTTCCACGTGCCCTCCCATAATTAGATGTCTCCTTTGTATTATCCCTTGTAGAAGCGCTGCCGTATCTTCTCAGTGATCCTTAAATATTCTCCATGTAATTTTCATCTCTTTATCTCCTTCAGAGGCCACCACATTCCCAAGAGTAAGTGGAACAACAAGTGTTGGAAGAGCCACGGGTGAGTGATGCTAAACCAAGACCTTTAATTCCCAATGACACCTTCAATATTCTTCTGAAAATATCTATAGATTTGTATATGCTATATTGTGAAAATTCAGAGAAAAAGACTAGATAGTCATTATATTACCTCATTTCCTGAACTTACAAGGGCTTTCATTAAACCATCATAACATTAAACCATGACAGATAAATAGGTACTATGGGGAGAAAAATTCCAATTTCCCCACCAAAAAGAAGGACATGATGGTTAAGAATTGTTTCAGTAAAATTTTTGTGGAAAAAAATGTTGCTTGGGACAAATATGAATTAATTCTAGCACTGCAAGTCTCAGCGTGATAGTTTGCTTCCAAGTGTGGATTTGAAATTCTTATTCAAATCAGTGGACAAACAGTTGAACTAGTGACACCATGTCTTTCTTAATGTAGGTATTACTAGTGTAGTCTCTGGAAAAACACTGAAACCTGGAAGTTACAAGACAGGCACATCTGGAAATACATGCAAAGTCTGGGCATGGGCACCTTGGTTGATGTACTCTGCCCACAGCACCATGTATACTCTTCCAAACCTTAATCTTTACTCCTTCTTTTCTTTTCTCTCTCTCTCAGGGGCCACAACTTCCACAGTAGGAAGTGACACCAGCCAAGCAGAACGTCCAGGAGGTGAGCTTTTTACTCTGAGGCCTTGGGGCTTGTACCAAATTCCTGTTCTCTGCAGTAAAGACATGGGTGTGAAAGTGGGCGGGAGAATGGGGCCTGCGTTTCTCCTGGAAACACAGCATACCAGGATCAAAAACCTGGATGTGCCCAGGAATTCCCTGGCCTCACCTGACTTATCCCTCTGGATTTCCAGGAGCCCGGACTTTCAGAGCTAGTTATTATGTAGCAGGGATGAAGGCAAGCTGTGGGATACACCCGGCTGATCAGGGTCCCTGATCCTAAATACAATTTGCCTTTTTCCCAGAGTGTTTACTAACATCTTTTACACTGACTTATTTATTACATTTACTATCATTGCTGGCTTCCAGCTACTAGAATGTAAGGTGCATTAGGAGAGAAATCTTTCAACATTTTGCTCACTGATACATCCCAAGGGCCTAAAAAAGTATTACATGGAAGAGATATTTAATAAAGCTTAGTTGAAAGGTGAAATGTATTATTTGAAGATTTTTTCACTCTACTTGCTTTAATAGGTTCAACTGTGGTTTCACCTGGCCTCAGCAGTAGTTCACAGAGCTCCAGGCCAGGTAGGAAGGACTAAATACAGTCCTCAAATGCAAGGATTCGTTAACGAGCTCTATTTTCAAATTCTCAGTATCAAAATGCCTCAGGTAATTGATGAGTAAAATTCAGAAAGATGTATCTCCCATCTGCTCTTTTTCTCCTAAAGGCACCTCTGTCACACCAGAGAGCTCAGCATCTGAAAGTGAAACAGGTGAGGAGGAATTAAGGTTCCCATCCACATCCATTGTGCTCTATGGAGAGGGAACCCCAGGAGTAACAGTGATGGATAGGAATGATGGATAGGTGGGCCAGGACATGAAGGGGTAGTCACTTATGGTTCATTTCCTTACAAAACAGAGGCTTTCAGGAAAGTTCTTTCAGTGGGTTAAAGCCACGTAGCTACTTCCACAACTGATTTAGGAGGTAATGCCATGTTGATTCTTTTTTTTTTTCTAGTTTTAGTTACTGAATTCTCTGGGACAACTGCTATATCTAGAACTTCCCACACAGGTAGGATAATAAGGAGGAAATCTCCATGTTTAACGTCATAGTTATTAGAGCTGCTTTGATGAAACAGTAACCTCATTCTTTTCTCAATATTTCAAATTCTGACCTCACCATTCAACACTTTCCCTGTCAGAGGCCACAACTTTAACAGAAGGCCGCAGCGTTCCTCCGTCTGGATCCAGCCCAGGTAACAATGAGCAGAGCACAGCTTAGGGTTTACCATAAATTATGACTCTCCATAGGCTCACCTGTTGGGAGTGTGTTTTCCTGGGTACTGGTTTGCATTTACTTCCAGTATTTTCTTACACTGAATATATTTTGGAAAACTCTAGCCCCATACCCACATCTAGCCCCATAGCTGTAAGTTTCTAATGATGGGCTGGTGGTGCAGTCAGCTTAAGAGATTTCTCCTGCAAAGTCATATATACCACTATGGTGTAGGGGGAGCTGAAAAAAATTGTATTTCTGGAAAGAAATATATATTAATTCTGGAAGCAGGCATATTCTATATCAAGGTTTTCTCACTCAAAAAAAGCAATAATGATATTAAATATTTTCCAGTGTTATTGGCACATTAAAACATATTTCTGGTTTTCATTCCATGGTAGGTACCACTCCAGCATCAGGAGGCCAAGCAACTGGGAGCCTGACAGGTGAAGAAGAGGGAAAGCCACCCTGTTTCCTTGTCTGGGAGTGAATGTATGGAATTCAGTGGAGGGTCCTCAATTTGGGCACATTACTGTTCCTCTTGCTTTGTTAGTGATATAGGCCATAGCAAAGGCATGATTCTCAGTTCATCAGGAAGCAGTGAAATGGCTCTTTGATATAACAAAGATACACCCAGATTCCTTGTGGAGGCAGGTCTTCAGAAGACAAACACGAGTCACTGTGATGATCTCAGATCCTTTGTGTTTCAGCCACCACTGGGGTAGCTCCTGGCACAACCGTTGCCCCTGGCAGTTCCAACACAGGTGAGTCACTGAGGTGGCAGATTCCTTCAGGAGTCCATCTATGATAAATTATCCTCCAGTGCTGTCCTGGGTATGGAGCTATTTTAAGTTTTCCACGGTCTTGAAATATCTTCCATCACTCCTGTCCTGTTTTCCTCTTTCTCAGAGGCCACAACTTCTGTAGGAGAAAGAGGAACAACAAAAGTTGAAATAATGAAAGGTGAGCTCTGTTAATGTACTAACTATTCCTAAAAACGTCCCAAGAATCTGGCCTGAAATATGGAAATACTTTTTGCATTTCCCAGGTTTGGCATATTAAGGAAAATCTAACAGATGTCCAATATTTGACACCAGTAAATACAGTACAGGCCTTTCAACTTTTCCTCTCGTCATCTCTCAATCTTGGTGGCTGCAGTGAACAAATAATATGAAAGCATTTGAGGAGGAGTCAGCATTCTCTGAGGCCATATTATGTCGTAACAGTCTGGGAAGTTACTCTGTTTATAAATTCCATGACCTCAGATGTCTTAGGCAAACTATCTTCAGTATCCTGGCTTAGGGAGACATTTTTGTTTGATATGAGGATTGAAAGTAGATTGCACGTATTCCAACCCTCCAGGACTTCCGGTCTTCCTTAGCTGGTTTACCTTTCCACCCACAGCTTGACATTTTCTTTTCTTCTTTCCTTTTTATTTTACTTTAAGTGCCAGGATATGTGCAGGTTTGTTACATAGGTATACATGTGCCATGGTGATTTGCTGCACCTATTGACCCATCCTCTAAGTTGCTTCCCATACCATCTCCACTCCTGACAGGCCCCAGTGTGTGATGTTCCCCTCCCTGTGTCCATGTGATCTCATTGCTAAGAACATGTAGCATTTGGTTTTCTGTTCCTGTGTTAGTTTGCTGAAGATAATGGCCTCCAGCTCCATCCATGTCCCTGCAAAGGAATGATCTTATTCCTTTTTATTCAGCTTGACATTTTCTATCATTTTTCTCATATACAATGCTTATTTCCTGTATCCCTTCACTAGGAAGCTTCATGAAGTCAACTGATTATTAAAATGCCCCCAAGTTGTATCAGATATTCTACTTATAAAGATAAAACCATGCTTTATTTCTCCTGTAGGCACTTCTGTCACAGCAGAGGTCTACGTCTCTGGAAGGGAAACAGGTCAGGGTGATTTAAAGCCCTGCACTCCCCTTGCCTTGTAGCGAAAGGGAAACACAGTAGCCACACGTCTATCCCATGTTGGCCTGGAAAACCCAGAGCTAAGCAGCTGTTCATCTTTTATTCTATATAAATAGTGTCCTTGGGAATGGACTTCCAGTGCTTTAGGGCCACATTGATGCTTCCAAGCTTAGCTGGGGAGAAAATACTCTATAGTTCCATTTTCCTTTTATGCATTTTAGGTACCACTGAAGGATTATCTGGAACAACCATTATATCTGAAAGTTCCACCACAGGTAGGTTAACGAGATGGAAATACCTCTTATTTAATGTCACATGTCATGGTATCTCTTTTAGGACTGCTGCAAGAAAATAACACCCAAATCCCCTTTAGTTTTCCAAATTTTCAGATTTTATTATTGTGTTTTTTTTTTTCCTCAGAAGCCACAACTTCCATTGTAGGGTGTGGTACTTCTGGAACTGAACTCAAAACTGTTGACAATAAACTGCCCATACTTTGGCCTCATAAGGATTAGTACTCTCAAGCTTTCCTTGAGAGAGTTTGTGTTTCATTTAGAGACACTGCAAGTAATTCAAAATAGGATTGCTGTTATTTATTTGCTTATTTATTTAGAAAAATGACCAATCCTTTCATCAAGTTGAGGATGGGATGGGATTTCTACATTGTGTTAAAACTCTCACTAGTACCTGAGCTGGAAACCAGAAAGTTTTCTGTGCGAATGTGTGTGAAGTAGAAAAGGGCCTCATGGAACCAGGGCGCATGCATGCATGCGTGTGTATCTAACAATTAACTTGCCCAACATTTTCTCCTACATTTGAAATTTCAACACATTTAAACCTTTCTTCCCCCGTCTTTCTATCTCACAGCAGGCATCACTGCAGCGTCAGGGAAGCAAGCAGGTGAGCACTGGGAAATGCATCTAGTTGCATTTTTGTCAGATTTTCTGTTGTGTTTGTACTTGGAAACATTGTCTATCTCTTTTTGTTATGAACTGTTAAAAGCAGGAAATACATCTAGTCGTCCACCTTCCTTGTGCTCAGAGAAAGAGATTTCTGTTACAGCAAATAAATACATAAATAGAGCATATCCCTTTTAGATTTGGGTCCTCATTTGACTTACTCCTTCACTATGGTCACCTCAGTCTCTTTGTTTTCAGGAACCTCTGCAGTAGCTTCTGCCACAACAGTTGCCCCTGGAAGTTTCAGCACAGGTGAGCCCACTGTGTGGTGGGGAATCCTTTCATGGGTGCTCGCTACGGTAACATGCCTTTCCTTCTATGTAGTGCTTCTATGCAGAAATGCCACCATTCCATTTCATGTCCCCTGAATCTTTTCCATTTTTTCCTCCTTCTCCCAGCAGCCACAGCGTCTCCTGGAGCAAGTGGAATGACTGGGTTTACAACAACTACAAGTAAGAACTGACAGTCCACTACCTCCTTCCCAGTAGATCAACTTGCCTCAAACACATCTACCATCTGTACTTCCCGTGAAGGGCATTTTTGTTGAAAAAAAAAAAATCACTATTCTAAATAGGCAAGATTTCACCTAATATGTAAATGTCAGACACTCAAATGCCTTTATCTTCCTTTACTCTGCTTCAAGGAGATATCACCACGGAGCTAAGGCAATGCTAATCAGTTGTGTACTGGAGAGAATTTGTCTTTCTTTCCCTCAGTGATATATAAAGGAAATAATAGATATTAAAATTATTCTTATTAAATAGTCTATAGAAATGGTGCATGAAAAACATACAGATTAACTCCTGGTCTAGAAACCTTTGAGAGAGCCTGTTGACACATTAACAACCCAGAGTTCCCTCATCCCATCAAAGGCCGTTTTCATTATGTGTCAAGAATAAAAATAGTGATTTCTATCACTGTGTGTTCCAATGTGGTAGCCAATGGCAGAACTTTTACACATGAGAAGTCTAATACTTAAAGCAATAAATAATTATGGTAATGAGCATATTGATCATTTATGAGTTCTTTAACTATATCCACTTTTTAAATTAGAGGTTTATATATCCTATTCCAATTAAGAAATGCCAAAGTCCGGCTGGGCGCGGTGGCTCACGCCTGTAATCCCAGCACTGTGGGAGGCCGAGGCGGGTGGATTACAAGGTCAAGAGATCGAGACCATCCTGGTCAACATGGTGAAACCC